AAAGGACAGAGGAAAATAAAAACTGTCTTGTGCTTTCATGTCTGAACCTTGCTGAGAAAAGAAAAGAGACTTCAACCTTTGAGGAGTGAGCTGAAGAGACTGACTGCTAGGGGTAGGGTAAGACCTCAATTAGTCCCAGCAGCTTGACAAGTCACTAGTTACTGCCTTGACCCAGACCCTGTGGAAATCACCTCCCTATCATATGAATGGTTCCTCCACTGCTGCCGTCAAAATAAGCTGAGCTAGTAAAGACCTGTTGCTTTTTCCAGCCTCTCCAAATGGCAGCACTTGCTCAGGTCAGCAGAGGTGGCAGCAGAAGGCACAAAGGGCACTGAGCAGGGGGAGAGGGAACAGCAATTAGCAAGGGAAGGCCACAGGCTGCAACCTCTGGTGGTGACATATTTTCAACCCAAGGAGTTTCCTCTTTAGAGGAGTAGCCACCTCTAAATCCCTGCTCCCTGTGCAGTTACAGGTAAAATCAGTAGTCTTGCACTATGCAGTTTCCTGCAGTTGACTAAAACTGTGGAAATTAATAACATCTATTCTCTACTCAGGAGATGTGTAAAGCTAGTTTCTCTTCTCATTAAATTAAAGCCCAAAATTATGTTCTCTGCTGCTAGATGTATAAAACTACTTTCTTCCCTCCAAAATAAATGTGGCAACTAAAAATACCTTTAATTATTTCACCCACTGACCTCTAATTGTTATCTCCATGAATTTATGATCAGGCAAACATTTAATTTAATTTAATTTAATTTAATTTAACTTAATTTAATTTAATTTAATGAAGAGGTGCATGCTTACTTCAGAGATCTGAATACATTATAGGTTACCAGATGATAAATTTGATAACACAGCTGCTGTGTTCTGCTCAAATGAGAAAATAAAACTGCCATGAGGGTTTTCACTGACTGATTTTTCCTGGTATCAGATGGCTCTGTGGAAACAATTTTGTTTTCCCTAATAAACACAAGGAGTTTATTTGATCTGGCTTATTACAAAATTTGAAAATCTTGCTTATTATTTCTGGGTTTAGTCAGGCTTCATTTCACTCTATTGGCAGATTCAAAATTTCCCTAATCCTTGTTTTCTAATGTTCCTTGATATTCCTACTGTGCTTTTCAGATTTTCTGTTTTACACTTGGAAAATGCCTGAAGAGATCTATTTTATCTTAAAACTGGGTATAGGTTCATGAAGAAGCAACACAGCCTGCTGGATGACACCTCAAGTTGTTAAGAGTTTTTTTTCTAAAACTGCATCTTATTTTTATAAGGGATTGGCTTTCAGCTACTTTCTCCACATTTTACACCAGACTCTGACACTTGTACACCCAGGCCTGTCCACAGCTCTCCACAGGAGCTCCCCACTCCAGGTGACGAGATGGGGCATTTCAGCATTTCTCACTCCTTGGAACAGGCTGCTCCAACTTCCACGTGTGGACCTGCCTGGGATGTGGATGTGATGTGATCACACTTGGGAGCTCAGTTTGTGGTAAAAAAAGAGCAGCATGCCAAGAGCAGATTGAGCACATGCCAACAAGGCAGCCCCATGCCACGCGTGGCACAGCAACCCTTTGGAGGCTGACAGGCAGCAGAAATGGAGGGAGGGATATAAGGGTTTGTTGGCTACTGCAACACTTCAGTAAAGCCACCTCGTCCCTGCGGCTGCGCTGTGCATGCCAGAGGTCACACTGCAAGTCACAGCCAGCAGTGCAGCCTGGGAGCCAGGGCCCAGCTCGGCCCAGCCAAGCCCAGCCCAACCCAACTCAGCCCAGCCCAGCCCAACCCAACCCAACCCAACCCAACCCAACCCAACCCAACCCAGCCCAACCCAACCCAACCCAACCCAACCCAGCCCAACCCAACTCAGCCCAGCCCAGCCCAGCCCAACCCAACCCAATTCAGCCCAGGCCAGCCCAACCCAGCCCAACCCAGCCCAACCCAACCCAGCCCAAACCATCTCAGCAAAACCTTACCCAGCCCAACCCAAGCCAACCCATCTCAGCCCAGCCCAGCCCAACCAACCCAACCCAACCCAACCCAACCCAACCCAACCCAACCCAACCCAATCCAAGCCAACCCAACCCAACCCAAGCCAACCCAACCCAAGCCAACCCAACCCAGCCTGGCCCAATCCAACCCAGCCCAGCCCAGCCCAACCCAGCCCAAGCCAAGCCAAGCCAAGCCAAGCCAAGCCAACCCAACCCAACCCAACCCAACCCAACCCAACCCAACTCAGCCTGGCCCAATCCAACCCAGCCCAGCCCAGCCTAGCCCAGCCCAACCCAACCCAACCTGTCTCAGCCCCGCCCAGCCCAGCCCAGCCCCACCTAGCCCAGTCCAGCCCAGCAGGACAGGACAGGAATGCTGGTGGTAAGAAATTGCTATTTCAGTGACAACTCCTGCATGTGAGAAATGATACTCACTTCTACAAATTTTAAAAGTTTTGTTAAAACCTTATCAGAAATACGAGAGAAGACTGAATAGAGAAAATATTACAGTGCTGGGAGCAAAGGATTTTTCCCACCATGTGCTCATCCACACAATGGATGTTTTGCCTTTTAACCCTTTAGCCCCTCCCAAAGTTCTGTCCATTGACTCCTCCTTCTCTCTCCAGTGGTGGAGTTCGCTTCCTTACACCTTGATTGGGGTCAGGTGCTGCCAGTGTAACAAGCCTGCCTTCCCAAATGTCCCAAACTCAGGGCATCCCGTGATAACAATTCAAGGTGGGGGGAAACATAACTATAAAACTTCTCTTGACATATACATAATATCTGCCTTTTAATTGTGAGACTAAACCATAACATTATCATGGTTTACTCTCACAATTAAAAAGTACCAGCTCTATCACATGCATGAGCTGGTACTTTTCCAGTTTTGAGTTTAAACTTCTGACCATTCTTTAGTTTGGGGTAGAATTTTCCTGTCATGTGGACCCTGAACTCCATGTAAATGCAGGCAATGGCTATCTGCGTTGTTGGTCTCTTGCTTTACCTTCACTGCTTTATATATTGCTTTAACAATACTCCCTTACATATAAAAAAAAAAGGAGCTCAAACATAGCTGTGCATCTGCTGAATTATGTTTTTTGGAAGTAAATTATATTATTGAATGTATATTATTAGCATTTTCAGTAATGAGGCAATATATTTTTTTCACTTGCTTTAGATTTTACTAATTAAATCTTGGGGTTTTTAACACTTGAGCTTTTTGTTAGCACAGGTTATGTATATTTGCACCAAATACTTAGTCTGAATCATCATGCAAGAGCTGCACTTTTAAAAGTTGCTATCTGAAATATAGTTAAGAAAATGCATTGCTTTAATTAGAGAAAAAAAAAAAAAACTTAAAGCTCAGAGAGTGCAGATTGTATTGAAATCACAACAGAATTGCTTCTCACCATTATGAAATTCTTTTGGGGTAATTTAGGGTAAATTGTAAGTTGTTTGGTGACTGTAGAACTACTTCTGAACTATTTTCTTTCTATGTTTTTTCTTGACTAGAGCTCTAACTTTCTCTGATGTTTATAATACATTTCTCTTATTAGCAACTGTTTCTGCATGTTGCATCTTGAAGACAGTTGCTCATATCCAATTGCTCATATCCTAGACTGTGACACTAAATTTATAGCTTATAAACTAAATACACAGGCTATATATTTTTTTTCTGAGTTTTGTGTAAATATCCCAGGTTTTGAGAACTAAACAGTCTGAGCTAGTTTAGTTTCAGAACTAAACTGTCTAAATGGTCTGTGAACCTTTTGACACGAGCTGACCTGCTGACCATGCACTTGAGTAAAACCTGTTGAATAATTCATCATATGTAGTATTCAGTGTGAGTTTTGACATTTTATTGCAATAGACATACCCCAATTAATTATACTACTGCATATTTTCGTAATTAATCTAGAGCTTTGAATTTTCATTCAGTTCTTTGGGCAGAGTAGGGGCAGGGATGTTCCTTCTATGACAGGAGATTGCCACAAGTTCCAATGTGTGCCATGACTGAAGGATCAGCTGCAACTGCATCTTTTTCTGGATAATTTGATTACACTCACTGAGGGCTTTATCATTGTCAGTACATTTACTCTATATCAAAATAAGACATGGGGCAGAAATACTTCCTTAGAAACTCTGAATATAGTAAAAGCTGGTGATAATATGTGTTGTCTTTTATTGCATCTTAAGCTTAAAATACCTCCTCCAGGAATCATGGCTAACTGTTCTCAGTTCCTCAGCTCTTAATTTAGTATTAAACTCAATTTTTCTTACTTTTTCTTCAGATTTGCTTAGGTATTTGTAAAGAGACTCCAGTTCCATAGGAAACAGTTGAGGCATTTTTTTCCCCTGAAAGGCCTCAGATGTTATATTTTTATAGTAATATTGTTTAAAGTGTTACTAATACCCATTAGATGAAGACTCTGATATCAAGGATTCTTTATTCTGACCCCCTAGGTTTTTGGCTATGACAATTACTTTTTCTAGTGTCTCTTCCTAATATGAATATGTGATTCTGGAATTCCTTCCTAATGTTAAACAGAGACAATGCTAGTTCTGGCCAAACATACTCAGAACACAGAAAATCAATCTTTTGACAAATTTTTAAAACTTTCTTCTTTTAATCTTCTTTCTACATTTCTTTCTCATATCCTACAAATTAAAGTACATGTTTAATTATTATTAATGTTACTGTCCTACTCAGCACAGCAGTCCCCAAAATGAGGACAGAATAATTACATGTGTCCTGAGAAAAGTTTCTGGATTGCATAACTCTGATATTGCTGTTCGGCTGAATCATTTCTCTGCCTGGGCCAGGTGTTCTCACATCACAAGTGGAAGGGAGAAGGGGATTACTGGAGAGATGGCACACACTGAATCTGTTACAGAATCATAGGGTTCCAGACTTGTAAGGCTAGTTATGTCCTGAAGTACAGTTACATAACACTATAAAAATAATTGGCAGTCATGAAGAAATTTGAAAGGATATGTAGCAACACTGCGTGCAATATTGTTTTTTGTTTATTTGTTTTGTAGCAGCATTAAAGATGACAATATTTTCTGTAGAAACTATTCACATCTAAGCAGCATTAAAACATTTTTTGCATTTATGTGAAAATCTCAGGGGTTCAAAAATTTGGCCTGGTTTCTTCTGAGCTCCAGAACTTATCCAAATGTTCATCTAAAGACACCTCTGGGGAACTGGCTGAACAGTGTGACTCTGCAAGGGCTTGAGACAGACCTCTAGATGAAAAAAAAATAAAAGTTGTAAATTGCTAGCAATTGGAGAAGAGCTAGCTTTGTGGAATTCTATTGAATGCAAAAGTAATTAAACCTCTTAAGATAGCATCACTGGCTGCAAATTTCTAATAAGTATAAACATAATAAAGCTCCTTTAGATATTGTCATTTCTAACAGCGTTAGCCACTGTCTCATGTGAATAGCATGGATATAAGGAATATTTCTGCAGACAAGATTGCTCACATAGCCTGTTACAAAGTCTGTTAGGATCCCAAAATATAGTTAGGGTAGGTAATGGTATATTTATCAAAACTGAGCAGGAACTTAAAGCTTATTAAATAAGAACTCATGTGTGATGTAAACCTGGAAATCACACACTCTAAATTCTGTTAACCAGTCTGATAGTAATAATTTTATTAATATTTTTATTCTATGCATCCTATAGCACTAGAAAATTAGAATATGTGGATAACTGTTAATTGAATTTCTTAAGAAACTTAAGGGAAGAAACTATGGTCACAAAAGGGACAGTGGTCAAGATTATTGCTGTTTTATGAGTAGGAACTTACATATTCTTAGAGGAGAATAGCAAGTTAGGACCCCAGGCTCACAAAACTATTTTATTTTTGTTTTATATTCTCAAATGAAAAGTTAGAATGAAGACAATCTCTGTTTATTAGACTTTTGAAACATAATTCAATAAAGTTCAAAGGGAGGAGAATGTTGTAACTGTATTTGCTGCTGTGCATCTTCACTGTGAAAGTGTTCCTCTTAAACATAAGCTTTGAGCTGGCAACTGTCTTGTTATTTTATTTTTCCACAATTAAATAATACATCCTTCCTGATCTTTAAGAGGTATAAAATAGGAAAGATTAATAAAAAATCCTCTTCCTATAAGTTTTCAGTTCTTAATGGGACATAGTAAATTATTTGTATTTTATGATTGGAAAAATATGAGCAGTTTATGCCACTACAATTTGGACTAAAACTGATTTAAATGAGCTAGATGCTGGGATCGAAATGATCATTCATTTGGTGCACCATTTCTTTAATCAAAGTAGAGTCCTACCAGATTTCAAACGGGAATGTGTTTCAATGGATTATGTTAATTCAACATTTGACAAGAAAAATAAAAAATTTCCATCTCATGTTTAGTTTTGAAACTCATTTGGGGGGAGGGGTGAACTAGATTAAATGTTAGATATTATTTTATATATGAAATTCAAAATAATAAAGTCAAAATACATAATCCAAATCAAACATTTTAAATCAATGGGAGCAGAATTCCTTTTCTAAAGGAGATCTTATTCTTCCTTTGCTGCGTGACCCACCTCATCTGTTGGGTTTGCCAAGTGCAGCACACCGTTGCCCACTCCATATGTAGCACAGGAATATGTAGCCAGCATCTCTGTGGGAAAATACTTGAGGGCTGGCAGAACAGCTACAAATTGTGCTCTGACTATTTGAGAGCTTCAAAGACTGTCAAGATCATATGTAGTTTGCCTCAGAGATAAGATGCATGTGTTGTTTTTCACATCAAAGCAAGTGCTATTTGTTCTCCTTAATTTCCAAAGTGTATATATATATATGATACATATTTTTATATTGCATATTTTTTATTAAAGGTAAGCCATTATCTAATAGTTAGTCTCAATTTTGACCTCTGTGACGTAAAAAACCATATATATTCCTTAGAATGCATTTCTGTGTATGTTTTATGAAAGCATTTTGTTCTATGTGACTGATAAATTGAGTATACACAAACAGCTTTGAAATAAATTTAGTAAGGAACTATCTGTTTATTACTGCATAGATTACTTGCTGACAGTAAGCAAGTTTTAAGATAAAAGAACTTCCAGTGAGGGTAAAAAACTAATTGACTTCTGTTTGGTTGGTTTTTCATTGTAAATCCTTAGGAAGCTTGAAAACATTGCTTTAGTCAATTTGCTGAAGAAGGCTTTCATTAGTAATATACTGAGCAGTGCTTTAATCAGTACATAAATCCACCAATTTCAAATAATTGGTGCTAATCATAATTTCTCAACATAAAAGGACTCGAGGATTTTTGTCAACAGCAAAGTTGAATGATACACGAAGGCCTAAGGTCATTCAGCCATCTTGCAAGCCCACCCTCACTCCTGGAACAGAGCTGTTCCTGCTGAACATGTGCTAGATGTACCAAAGGCCACAGACTAATAACAGTCACACCTGCAATTATAAATCTTGGCCACCTTGCAAGAAATCTGTTGTCCAGTATAGGCACCCACCTGCATTTATATAACAGGAAGACAGGGCAGGTAGCACTGAGTGGCTTGTGATCAGGGAAGTATGCTTAGTCCCTCCTTGCCAAAGCAGGATAATTGCATCCAGTCTGCTTTCTTTTGGACTCTCCTCAGTCCCTCCTCACCCTTAAGCAGTGACCAAGAAGTATTTGGAAAGCACATGAGTTTACACTGGCCAGTTTTGCCATGGACTCTGCCAACAGTTCGGTACTGTATTTTTGTTCTATTACAGATGTGGCCCCCTTTCACAAAGACTGAAGTGCCTGACAGACACTGTCCAAGATAGTCCATTCACTCAGAAAAATGGGAACTGGGGAAAAACTGGAATCTGTTCTCTTCTATCATGTAGTAATGGCGTAAGGAGGTAAGCATAAAGACGAGAAAGTCTTTGGGTTTTTTTAAGAAGTGTTTGCTATCATGTTTGAAGATATACTGATTATTTCAAAGATCATTTGCTTGAAAAGAATATTGGTGAGTTCAATACATTTGTTAGCCCCAAAAAACCTCAAAGGCCCAAATCTGTCTATTAAAGACTGTGCTTCCCTCAGGTCATTCTGAAATAAAAAAAGAAAAAGAGAGGACTATCTTGCCGTGGTCTCACTAAAAATGGATAGTTGTACAGCAAAAAGATTTATTCATATGTGACAGAGGAGAAAAAATTGTGTTACGGCACAGTGGAACATCAGATTGCAATAGGACAGCTGTGAGCTAACTATCTGTTTTGGGATGCTGCCTCCACACATCGAGAGCCAGAACAGGAGGCTCCAAGCACACCTTGTACCTTGTTGCAGACCTTGATGGTAAGATTTGGGCTATAATTGTCTAAATGGCTCTCCCCACCTGACCCAGACAATAGGCTTTTGGTTAGGATTGTTACCAGCTGTGGAAGTATTCTGGGCTTGAATCCCTTCAAGGCTGAAAATGGAATTCAACTGGTCTCTTTTCTTCAGGAAAAGTGCTTTAAATTGTAGTTTATAATACAAAAGTTGCGAGCAGTATATTTATGCTGTTTTAAAGGTGGATCCCTTTAGTGAGTTTTTCAGCCAACTAAATCAAATGTAAGTTTTCTAGGACAGGTAGAAGAGGTCTCCATTCATTTACCAAGTCTCTGCTGACTTGGTAAATGAATGCCTAGTTACTAGACATGACTAGTCGACATAGTTTGGTTATTAAAATCAGTTTTTTGAAAGCAAATATGTTAGATTTTAAAATGCAAGTAATTTTTCACATGTTTCAGATTTAATTTTTTTAAGTCTGGCTTTATACCTCTCAGATGCTTTCTATGAGAAACAGATGGCTTAAGTCTAACAATAATGTACATGACATTGTCTCCCTTGTGAAGTAATTTTAAAAATGTCTATCACAGAATTCAAAGATTGGCAAATATTGCACCAAAATTTTCTAGTGCATGAACAGTTTTTAGATGCTGTTTCATGGGACAGGAAGTATTCTTCATCCAGACATGATTCTAAGATCTGTTTTAATGTTGAGGACATAGAATCACCTTCTTGGAACAGATCAATATTCCATACTGTCTGCCAGGGAGCAGTGTTAGAGTCTTAATGTCAAAATGCTGTATCTGAGACTTCAATGCATAATCAATTTCAGTACAAAATCATGAAGATTTTGTCTATACAGTAATCTGTCTGATATGATATTCCTCTTATGTACTATCTTATACATGCTTAATTTTTAATTTTCCACTTTGTAAAATATAAATCTAGTTTCTGAGCAAAATACCATCTTCCCCAGAACCAGCTTTTCTTCTGAAAAATGAAATAATCACCTCTCCACTGCAAATATGTCTGAAATGCTGTGGTCAGGAAAAAGATAGGTCAGAATAGATGGCCATTGAGGTGTTTTCTGGTGAAAAATCTATGCTACATAATACTGTAACCATGTGTGATCTTATACTACCTGAAATCCACGTAGGCTTAGCTAAATTAATGCCCAGGTTTTACAGCCTATGACATCTTCCATTTTGCAAAGTTCAGCTGGCAAAATATAACAGGATGAATCTGGGGCTTTGTTAGGCATATCTGAATGGAGAGAACATAATGTTTTTGAAATAGAATGTGGAGCTTTAGCCACCTGTCTCCAATTATACTCAGTGTGACTGCAAGATTAAAATGCCATCTAGCTCACTGTGAAAATATGTCCCATAGCATCTCCTTTTAGCTCAGGAGCATTAATGCTAATAACACCCCAACAGAGAATCAATTTTATTTTGATACTCTCAGTGATTAAATATTTTATACAGAGCTGTGGCAACACTTTCAAAAACTCTAAAACACGAAATTGGAGTTGAAAACATATACTGACACTGACAAAAACTGCATGTGAAAGAGTTTTTGCTAATTGAATGACTAGCACAAATGGTAGCCAAGAGAAGTATATTCACCTGAAAAATTCATATGAAGTAGAATATGGAATCAAAAAAGCAGTGAAAAATCAAAAATCAAGCATTGATTTCAAGTTGATCATACTGGAATGATGCTGTTGTTTTTGCTGTTGTTGTTGTTATTATTTTAGTGTATGCTACTTTGCCCTTTGAAAAATCTATGCAAAACTGGCCAGTACTTTGGTACTTATACTATACGTAAAATTCTGTAACTCGTATTGATGCCAGATTTTCTTTCTAGACTTCCTCTGTTCTTATTCTGAGTTACAAGGCTCCAAGGTCATAACATCATTAAGAAATCAAGTGAAAACTATAACA